AAGTGCAAGTGTGTAGGATTCATTTCACAACTTTTTTTTGTCATTTTCTTATATTAATTTTTTATAAAACACAAATAATGATAATAATAATAATTTAATCAAAATTTATTAAAAATTTATTAATTTGTCATATAATAATTTTTAATTATTTATATAGTACTTTATCAATAAAAAGTCTTCTAATAATACTAGTTTCTAACCTAAAAACCCTATCAGGGTTTGTCTTGACAATTTAGGTTGAGGGAACCAAGTATGACTTTAAAAAGTTGATTATCACCAATCTTTATCACTTTCTATTGTAAACAAGACTTTTTTTTTTCTTAAAAATAAAATTAATTAACGATAATATATATTGCTTATCAATTTCACACTTACGCTTTCTAGGTTGAATTAATTGCTATAACCAGTGGTCCCAATTGACTAACGGCACCGGCATCCAAACAGAATCCTTTAATTTTTGTTTTCTTTGGAATTTTTTCTTTATGGCGGTGCTTTGCATTTATAGTGTTCCACACGTTTCCCCTTCCCCCATTTCAAAATCAATTACTTCCTCCATCACTAATTATTTGATCCTTACGGAGGAGTACCATTATCTAGTGGTGATATATCTTAGTGTGGTATAACAAAAAAAGAAAAAAATTACACAAAGACAAAATAGATTTAATTTCCTATCATTCACTTTAATTTTGTATTGAAAAGTATTTTTACTTCTCTTTTTTTTTTTAACATTGAGAGTAAAACTCATAACTTACATCTCAAACTAATATAAAAATAGTCTTATAAAAAGTTAATAGTTGTTAGATTATAAGATCATTCTAAAAAAAGTATTTTATTTTTTTAATATATTGTAATTATTTACGTATTAAATGAGAAAATGAAAAAAAAAATTTCATGAAACTTGAACACGCAACTCATAGAAAATGAATGACTTTAACCCAAAATTCGATACTACTCCATCAGAACAGATCATTAAAAAAGTTTTTTTTCTTATTATATAGTTAATATGATATTATCATTAGAACTTAATTATGTCTATGATACGTCATTTCAAGTTAGGTCTTCAACTGATAATGAGAATAAATAGCTCTAACTGGGAGAAGTTGGGTGTGTCTGTGTGTGAGTGTGCCCAAAATTGAAGCAAAATCTGATCTGCTCACGCATAATTAAGCATAGTCAAAACTTAAATAATGATGTTTCTTTCTCTCCCACCCACCCTTCATAAACAATAGTAGTAGCAGAATGGAAGCATCTGTGACCATTCCACCAAATGCAGTTCCCCAACACAGAAGGTCCAAAGCAGAGAATTAAAAGCCCAGCAGCGGGACTGTTTTTCTTATTTTCTGTATTTTGATTTCGATTTTTTTTTTTTTTTGGTTTATGTTTTTGCCTACATTTTCAACTGTTTTGTGCCTACCAGTCGATATAAATAAAAATTGGTCCTGCCTACCTGCCTTCCTTCTTATCAAAGTATCGGTGCAAAGTATAAAGTTAGGAATTTTGTACAACATGATAAGTTTGTCAACAACCTCTCTATCTTTAGAAAAGTAAGTTTATCAACAACCTTCAATATATATATATATTAGACCTTAAATTTATTACTGAGAGCAGATACAATTCTAACTATTAAGATCTTACTTTCTCTTTTCTTTTTCTTTTTTTTTGGGAAATAGGTGATCTTACTTTCTCTTTTCATTGCTAAAAAAGTAAAGAAAATTACATATTATTTAAGTAACTTAATAGTAATTTTATTTCAATAAAAATAAATAATTTTAAATTAGAATTACATACATATAAATGAAGTGAGTTAAGGGATAAGAGAAAGATTGCATTTTATTATGTAACCTAAGATAAAAAAATAAAAAGGATAAAAGTAAAAATTAAAACGTCCTAATATTTTACATGTCAATATTCTTTATAAAATTATTCTAATAAATCTCTTTTTGTAAGTTGATTTATTAAGAATATTTTTATTTATTAAGAATATTTTTATTTATTATTATTATTTTTAACATTTACTTGTGAAGATATTCTGATTTTTTTCAATTTCATTAGAGATTATAAAATTTTAGTAATTCCTGGTAAATAAAATGTTATAGAAAAAATACTTAAATACTTTTAATAAATTCACACTCGAATAAAGATTGGTATTTGAAACTGAATAGAAGTTGAATCAGAATCACAAACTCTTCTTAATAAATTGTTGGGGTGGTGCCTAGGATAAGACCTTCACCTTTCCCACATCCCGCCTAGGCAAAATATTTATGGATGACACGGGATTCGCTCCTATGGAAGAGTAATCACTGGAGGAAAGAGCATAAAAAATTAGAGGTTGGGTGCGTAAGAGGAACGTCCCAAAAAGCAGACGCCTCGGTTGACCTTCACCATATTCACCTAAACAAATCCACCACCATAGTGGATTTACCCCACGACTTGGTCTTTACCAAGATTCAAATTCCAACACTTGGTTTGGATTACTACTCAGCCAAAAACATCATCCAACATGTTCTTTTGGAAGATAGACCTACTAAAGTGGCACAAATTTCATTGGTTCCTGCTCCTTCAGACAAAGTGTTGCGGGCCTACCCTTCAACATCAAAGGTCGGCAGCTATCTTAACATAGATATCAAATTATCAATGTCAATGGAATCAAAATATCAAAATGAAACGTACAAATTTGCAACAACAGCCTTCCTTCCAAGAATCAGCTGTCTTCAACCTAAGAAGATGAACAGATGGAAAGCAATATGAACACGCAAGAATCACCATCCCATAGGGTCCAAACTAGATATCTGTAAAATGACTAATTAAATTGCAGTTCTAAAAGCAATTTTGGGTACAGTTCAATGCTAACTGGGTAATGGGAACAAAAACCATTGCCAATTAGTGAGGCGAAATTTGCAGAAGACAAATGCGAGCTTACATTCTTTTGCATATATGATACTGGTATGTTACATAGTAAAACAATGAAGCTCCAATCATAGTAACTACCCTTAAATATTCTCTACTTGGTAAGAGAGTATTTCAAGTCAACATGAGATCGCTTCCTCCAAGTTTAGGGCGGAGGCAAACACGAACTTCATGTTCTTCTGCACCCACACGCAGTTTTGGCACCATTATCTCAAGCACGGATCCTGGCCCATCATAATATGCTTCAATATTAGCATCCTCAGGAATGCGGGTTGAAAGAGGAATTTCTCTAACAAACTCCCCTGGAGGGCAGTGCTCAGAAGCAGGATCTGTAAGCTTGAAAGTCCTATCGTGTCTCTTGATGAATGGCATGCGAGATGTGCTCACACAAGATACTTTTATGATACCACGAGTGAGAGTATTCTTCCAAGAGACCTTGACCCTCTGAAGATCCACAAAGGGCAGACTGATAATGATCAAATAACCTTGCTCATCCTCATATATAGTTTTTGCAGCTGTAACAGGTCCATACACATTTTTCATGACCCCATTGAAATCATTCAACCAATGTGGCTCATGTGGATGAATTTCAATGTCTGTGATCCGGTCAGAAGCATTAACAGCCAAATAGCATTCATCTTCATTCCCATGTGGGAAAAAGTCCTTCTTCCTCTTGTTGCTGATAGGTGATAAGTCCATTGCATCACCATTGGCATGGTTAGATGGCTGAGTAGACAGATTAAGCCCAGCTCCATTGAGCAGTTTCTTGGAATGGGAATTAGGGACCCCCTTCGATAGAGGCGGCCTATCAAGCTCAAAATCTGTGTTAGCAAGGTTTCTCCATGAACTAAAATCACTAGCTTCAGACAGGATTGCAAAATTGAAATCTCTCCCTGTGAGCTCCACCCATCTTTTCCGTTCATCCTCATCAAGACCCATGAGATTTGGAGATGGAACTACCTCGATACCATGCACGCACTGGGGATTTGACAATCCTCTATAATGCTTCCGCTGCATCCTGTGTGATCTGACAAATCCCTTATCAACACTAAATGGAAAGGGTCTCTCCCCTTGGCGAGAATGCCCATTCATGTAACTTCTCAGCTGCATCTTGCCCAATGCATTTTCAGGCCTCTCCTTGAAAACCCACATATACATGTTCTCCATGTCATGCTGCACCATAAAAATATCAAGCTTAAGATCAGATTTATCAAACCCGGTAACTCCATTGCTGTCCCGGACAATTTTAGCCTTCGATTTGTCATTCAGAGCAGGCTTGAAGTAGTAACTAAAGAAAAACCAAGCACCCCAGATGCTATCTACCCGTTTGGCACCTTTCCTTCCGGCCTTGGAAACACTGAGGTAAGTCTCAGTCTCATAGGCTTGAGAACTGAGACTAACATCTAAAATATCACACTGATCCGAGTTCCAATGCTGTGGAGTCGGACTTCGCTCAGCAGAGAGGGGGAGATTGATATCAGGGGGACGGGAAAGAGTGATTTGGCGATTCATTTCCAAGTCCAATTCATCATGAGAGGAAGCGCTAGAATCCATGGATAAAACAGTAGACGGATGGTGATTCTCCATTGACAGGGCTGTGAGGAGGAGTGAATCTCCCATTTCAGCTCATCTAATTGGAGGTGGGTACTGCTGCTGGTGGGTTGAAGATTTCCATTTCTCCGAAAACAAAGAATTCAACAAATGAACAATCTTGTAAACAAATTCATCATCATATCAATCCCCATAAGATGTCCCCTCCATCAAAACCCTAGATTTATGAACAAGACAGCACAATCTCATCAACAATATGAATCCAATAACCCCAACATATTAAAAATTAAACAAAATTAAACAAATCCACAAGATATTCTCTTTCAAATAGGCAAATATCTACTAAAAGATTAAAATTTTTATAAAAAAATAAAACAGTAATAAAAACACTTAAAAATGAAACCCTCTTCAATCTCTCCCTAAGGAGACAGAGGAAGATACAGAACTAGCTGCTAAATAAAGACCATGATCCTAGAATCTCCCAAAATCCAAACACTGAACCAGAAAATACCAAATCCAAAGCAAAACCCAATTTCTTAAATCTTAAAATTTTCTCTAAATCAGTAAATGGGGGGAAGAAAACACCTAAATCTACAAAGAAATAACACTATGGTGAATAAATAAAAAGAATGAAACTTTAGAAGAAACAAAGCCAAAGGGTCTTCAAAGATTACCTTTTGGGACAAGCATCAAGAAATCTACAGGAAGATGAACGTCCAAGAGCGATGATGATGTTAATCTCCAACATTCCATCATCCATAATGATTCTCAAAAATTTTCTCTAATTTCCCAATGACCCTCCACTTTTTTTTTTTTTTCTTTCTAGGTTCTCCTTTCCTTTCTCAGTTGCCGGCAGGAAGACGAGGAGGAAAGAAGGGAAACAGGGCGGGTGTGTAAGTTTGTATTTTGTGAAGGAGGAAGAGTGAAACAATACTAAGGAAGCCCCTCATTATAGAGGCGATGAGTGTGTAAAAGCCTGCACCAGATACCACCGATTCGCCTCTCCGTTAGTTGACGGCGGCGCTGCACTTTTCTGTGCAATTTTTGAGGTCAATACTTCACAGGTTGCAACTAGATTTTTGCTGTTTCATGATTGACTTTTCTCTGTGGTCATTATCCACTTCATCTGTACGTTTATATTGTAATTATATAATCAAATTTCTTCCTTTCAGATAAAGAAATTCCGAAAAGAAAGATTATCACTTGAATATAGCTAATTGGGAATGGTTATATTTGTTTTTTTTTTTTTTATTTTGATTGTATAATAGAAAATAATTATTTTTTATATTTTACCTTACTCTATATGTATGTTATGTGATTTAAATTTAAGATTTTTTATTTTTAACGAAAAAAAATAATTACTGAATTATTTAGATCGTTAGCATTATATTTATTAATAATTTTGTTAGGATTATTAAAATTATTATTATTTTTAATTTAATTATTAA